TTTCAAGGTTTATGATTCTTGGTTCTTCAAGCATGTCAAACACAAAACTCAACCAAACGATCGTTTATGAACGTAGAAACGATCTATATGAACATTCTAGTCACTAGATATATCTACGGGCTTACCTCGAAGCGTAATGGAGGTTTTGAAGATTTTCCGGTGAAACTTCCGGCGAGGATTGTGGCTAGCTCCGGTAACCTCTCAACAAATTGACAGCACCATAACACTCCTCACACTCTCAGGAACATAATAGGAAGAAGAATTGTAAGGAATGGTGTAGAAATGAGGAAGTTAGCTTCCCCTTTTTATAGGGAAGATGAAGAAGAAGGAAACAAAGTCTGAGTAGATGCTGCGTAGGAAATTCACGTTCTTCTTTCGGCGATAGTGCGACTTAAGGAGACTCAGCACGTTACTCTCTGATTGGGACTAACTTGGTCCCAGTCGGGGTATACTTTTTGGTCCAACTTTCTCTGAATTGAAATCCGTTTGCACCATTGCGATCGTAAAATTAAACTCTATCCAATGATATACTTTTTACATTTATTCGTTATACTTTTTCCGACATCACATTTTTGGGTGGTTTACTTTGACAGAGTCAAAATTGGTTTAATTGACTTTTATTAAAAAAGGTTCTCACATTTAATTCATATCATTTATTTCCATGATTTATTTCAATAAATCATTTCAAAGTTCACATTATAAACAATTTCTTCATTTATTCTTAATTTGGGTCTGTACTCAGGTTCCCAATCAAGCTCACACAATAAGTCAACAACTCAACATATTGGATTTATCTCTAAAAGATTTATCCAGATTGTAATATTGAATATTTAAACATATTTCATTTTGGCCCAAAACCCAACAAACATTTATTTTAATCAAAACAAATTTGATAAAAAATTGAATATTTAATTCAATAAACTTTAGGGTATATTTTAGGGCGTTACATTTCTCCCCCCTTAAAGAAATTTCGTCCTCGAAATTCTTCTAAGGTCCGACGTTCAACATTTCGTAGTGATCTCACTTAATCATGACCGCGTCATGTTCATTCAGTTAAATCATAATCACGTCATTATCCACATTGATAGTTATTCTCAAACTGTCGATGTTACGCAACTCGTTCTTTCTTCAAGAAATTAATAATCTTTCATTAAGCAAGACATTCAGTGATCCTTCAGTGTCAACAACTAAGGTTTCTTTGGAATGTATACGGTTGTATATTTGACATACTCGCTCATAACTTTGTTTATTCACAATTCCCAATTGTACTACGTTGATTAACGATATTTCTTCTTTTGATTGAAAGTCCTTCAGTAGCCTTTGCAGTTTCAAATTAGCAAGTTCGCGATAGATGTAGTGGGAGATTGGAGTTGTCTTCAATTCACACATCATAACGTAAATTTCACTTTGAGATAACTTCGTATCGTTCACATAGTTCAACAATGATTCACAATTACGTCAAAGGTCTTTTAGTGGTCCAAGATTTTCAGGATATAGGATTTGTCATCATTTAGGAGGAAATACAGTCGATCGGTTGTACAGTAGTTTGTCATTCATCGACCTTGTGTCGAAACATTTCTTCATTCATCTTCATGGTAGCTCTCATTTATCATTTTTAATGAGTCTTCGTACTCATAAGTGATGACGTTCGGGTAGCGTCTCATGTTCGATTTGTCATAATCAAACTTCTTCTATTAATTTGAAAACATATCTAGATATGATAGCGACAGATTCGATTGTAGCACTATGGCTGATCTCGTTTTGAGGAAAAAGATAATATCTTCAGTACGTGATTCAATTCATGAGTTCATAGAGTGAGGAATCTTTACTAGTTCTTATACCGACATCGCATATAAGTTCAAGATCTTCACTTGAATGATTCAGCCTGTTCTTGTGACATCATTTCTTCTCTGGTTGCCGCACACACATTTTCTTGCTAGGATTCTAACAATATCATCGATAATAATCTTCGGAGATAGTGTAATCGTATTGATCGTTTTGTAGTCTACAAAGAGAGGTTTAACATAATGTTTAAGTCAGGGTAGTTTTACTATTGTGATCGAGTCACATATTCAATAGGGTATAGTTTTCCAATATCGGTATCATAAAGCATCTTTTCAGATTTAATGAAGAATTATGAGTTAAGACAAATTTTTCATGGTTCAATATCTTGATCCACTTGAGGTGTTCCTCCAATATCAAAGCCATTTCAAAATCAGAAAAAATCAATGTGTAATGCCCATTTCAAAGCTACTGCAAAGAGGCTCAGATATACACTATATATATATTCATTACAAGGAAATAGAATAATTACACCATGGCTGCTTCTGGCCGAGCAGATAACCACGCCAAGTTACGTATTACTTCCTTAATTTCACTAATCAAAATAAAAAAACTTTTAAAGCAATCATCACAGCCTCTTTGTTATTCACATTATTCCAGCATCACAGACAACCCAGGGAAAAATACAATCAGAAGTGTCCAAAAATCCTGATATCATGAGCTTACTGACCTAGGGCAAGAGAGTATCCTCTAAGCATTTCAAATGATGTAATAAAAAGGGCCTCACAACCAAAATTTTACTACTTTGAACGTTTGAAATGAGCATTATGTAATTCCAGTATAAGGCCCATACATAAAAGCTGATGGAGAAATCAGTTTCCATTGGAGAAATGTACAATCAGAAAAAAACAGAAAAACCAATCTTTTTCAGAATTATAGCAGTCTGCCTAAGAGAAATATACAATCAGAAAAAAACAAATCACAGGTATATTTTTCAGAATTGTAGCAGTGTGTTTAAGTGCAGAAATATATACAATCACTCCTTGACAAAACCAAGGTATCATTTTCAGTACATGGCATCTAATCCACTATATAAAACCAAGCCAGAGTAGTTCACAAATGCCCATTTCGATGAGGTATTATAAAGAGGCTCAGATTTTCACTATTTAAATACTCATTACAAGGAAAAAGTTTGATATAACGTCATGGCTGCTTCTGGCTAGGCCGTAGCCACGCCAAGATATGTTTTATTTCCTTAATTTCAAAAAACCAAAAATGGTAAAACATATAAAATAAATCATCACAGCCTCATAATTTTT